GGCCTGTATATTTTATTTCTTAAAGATCTTTCATCCCTCCCTCCCCTTCTCTTTAGGGTGATCATATGTCCCTTTTGTCCAGGACAATCTTGACTTATGCCTGTTGTCCCAGCATAATTATGAACAGAAGTGCCCAGGATGGATAACATATAACATGGTCATTTTATCCATTCCCATCACTGCAACTTACTTCAAGCTCTCATTGATTTCCACCTCCATGGTAGCAGTAGTTGGCAATATAATAGGTGAAAGTCACTACCCAACTGATCTTCCCTTTCATCCATTTACTTTTTCAAAATTTTAATTGAGTGCTAATTCTGTACCAGACACAATGTTGGCACCAGGTGGGGCTTCCCTGCAAGGCTGTGCAGTTTGCACATTGCACCAGGGCACCCAGCCCAGGCAGGGAGTGAGGCTGAACACCATCTGCTTGGAGCCCTTCGCTCTCTGCTGCACCTGCACAGTGGGGGGTGTTTTTTTCTAACTCGTGTAAAAACAATGCATAGGTTAAGGGTAGCCCCCACATTGTGGAAATCACATTCCTTCATCAAGTCTGTCCCTATTAAAATCCATTCCCCTATTCTGTACTGACCTTCCTACATTACAAGCCTGATCTTGCCTGTCTCTTGCATCCTTCAAGAGTCACTGTCACCTATAAACTCTAGTCCCAAGTCCTGGACATAGTGCTCAAAGTCTTTGGTCATCTAGCATCTGCTTTCTCTCCAGACTCATTTCTCCCCATATACACCTTACTTCACCTATGCCGGACTTTTTCTGGTTGCTGGAATGTGCCAAAATGACTTCCACTGGCTTCCACTTTCCACATGCTGTTTATCTGGGCTTGGATGATCATCCACACCCCACCCCACACCCAGTCTACCTATTGATGATGATGAAGGAGGAGGGAGAAGAGGAAAAATAAAATGATAATAAGGATGACAAATAACTACAGTAACAACTTTTGAATAGAACAATTTTTCCCTTGCCTGAAAATGGTACTAGGATACACAGCCCAAAAAACGACATATGGTATGTGTCCCCACATTCTAAAAATGAGCCACCAAGAAATGCAACAGAGTGTTCCTCAGTTTTAAATGGTCCCGCTACCGTCATCAATCCCACCTGGCATGCTAAGCCCCAGGGACAGCCCAGTGGAGGATGCCTGGGGTCTCCCCTCCCCACCCCTTCCTGTTCTCCTACCTCCACCCAAAGTAGCCAAGTGAGCAAGGAGAAACCAACATACTTGTAATGTTTGCATTACAAACATTGGTAAAGGGAGACAAACATTCCATTCTCCAGCTGGACATCTGCTGGGGAGGCAGGGCACAGAGGGACACAGCAGGGCATGAAACCATGGGTTTTCCTCGTTGAAATTTGCTGGCCTGAGAAATTTTGGAGATGTCCCACCAAGAATGGTGTTTGCCAGATGCAAGGACCATCATCCAAATGGTTTTGGAGTGCACTGCAGGTTGGAACAGGGAATGTTGAGCTGAAGTAGTATAGAAGAGACGGGGGTGGAAGGCAGATGGCTCATATACCATTGTCCTTCATCCAAAGACCACCAGGAACATATCTGTAGTCAAATAAGCTGGGTTTATTACTCATCGTAGCAAGAAGGAATGGACTCCATATGGAACCATGGGGTGTCTCAGTAAGAGGGTGTTAGAAAGAATCTATTATGGGGTTTGAGCTTTGACTGAGTAATTTAGGTGAAGGTCTAAGGAAGCAGAAGCTCACTCTGGATGGGGACAATTCAATAAATCTAATCTGTAGTGAAGGTAGACTCAAGCAATGTAAAGCTATGAGTGGTAAAGGAGCGGTCTTGTTCAGTGAGAGAGAGGGGTGCTCGGTACTTTGTGGTGGCACCTTGTCTGAACCGGGGAGATGATCTTGCCTTTATGGCCCTGAAAGGAAACCATCCCGGGTGGCACCTTGATCTTGGACTTCCAGCCTTCAGAATTGTGAGAAAATAAATATTTCCCTGGCTAGTTTGGCTCAGCAGTTAGAGCGGCAGCCCACAAACTACCGAGTTGTGGCTTCAATTCTGGTCAAGGGCACGTACCTTGGTTGCATTTCAGTCCCCAACCATGGTTGGGGTCATGTAGGAGGCAACCAACCAGTGTGTTTCTTTCACATTGATGTTTCCCCCCTCCCCCCACTCCATCTGAAAATAAATGGAAAAATATCCTTGGGTGAGGATTTAAAAAAGAAGAAGAAAGAAAAAAAAAAAGAAATATCTGTTTTGTAAGCCACCCAGTCTGTGGTATTTTATTTTGGTATTTTGGCATTCCTAGCAAACTAACACAGACCTATATAATAAGTAAAAAGATTTCAGGAACCAAAACACTTCCCATGAAGAAAAACCCAGATTCAGATGGCTTCACTGGTGACATTTACTGAACATTTAAAGAAGAATTAATACCAATTCTATAAAAACTCTTCCCAAAAAACAGAAAATAAGGGAACACTTACTAACTCATGAGGCCACTATTACCCTGATACCAAAACCAAAGATGTCACAAGAAATCTACCGTCCACTATCTCCTTTGATATAGATGCAAAAGCCCTCAACAAAATATTAGCAAATAAAATCCAGAAACATATAAAATAAAAAATAAAAAAAAAGATTATACATCATGACCAAGCGTGATTTATCCCAGGAATACAAGGTTGGTTTAACATTCAAAAGTCAATCAATGCAATACACCATATAAGTAGAATAAAATACATCCTCAATAGATGCAAAAAAGGTAGTTGATAAAACCCAACACTTCTTCATGACAAAAGCACTTAACTAACTGGAGATAGTTAGGCATTTCCTCAACCTCATAGAACCACCTGTAAAGAATCCACAGGTAGCATCATACTTAATGGTACAAGACTAAAAGTTTTCTCTCTAAGATAAGAAATAAAACAAGGATGTCAACTCTTGCCACTTCTATTCTACATTATACTGGAGATTCTAACCTGTTTCTTGCAATTAGGCAAATTAAAGAAATAAAGACCATCCAGATTAAACAGGAAGAAGTAAAATGCTATTTGCAGATGACATAATCCTGTCTCCGCTCCAGGCTCTTCATCTCACTCAAACTGAAGCTGAATGGGTGACAATATCATCTTCCTTGGAAGGAAGGAGTTCTCTGCCTATTTTCAAGCCCTGCAGATTGGCACTATCACACAGCCCAGATGCCCCCTTCAGTGATGAGGACCCTGATTTTCGGCTCTCTGGGCAGTGAGGGCCCCCCAGAGGGACTCTACTGTCCCATATGTTGGCTCCCATGCAGACTTTGAAAACACTATGGGCAACAGCTATTAGTAGTGGTGCACCTGCTGTTAGTGTCCCTATGTTCCCCCCATACCCCCCAAAACACATAGTTTGCAGAGCCTGAGGTCTTGTCTGGCAGCAAAACCCACTGGTGAGCATCTTTATTGCTGTCTTCCCTTCCTGATCACTCCCTCCCTCACCTACCCCAATCCCAATGGTATGTCCTGACCTGGTCTCTCAGGTAAACTACTTGCACTGGACTCTGTCTAACATTTGGCTTCTGGAACCTAAAACTGTGACAGATAGTCATAGTAGGTCCTGAAATCAACTTAGTGGACTCCGACCAGCAAATTAATAAAATTGAAATAGAATGGAATAGGAAATAGAGTACACTCTGCATCTGTTTCAACTTGAGACTATAGACTGTATATCTTACTGCAGACAAAAGCAGATTTATTTAGGAAAATTCTGCTCTAAAGACTTTTCATTGTTTTTTAAACAACTATCATGTCAACATACAACCTTTAAAAAAAGTACCACTTTTCCAGAACATGTTAAGGAGAGGCCAAAAAACAGTACCAGGTTTTCTGAGGGTGCTTGGTTTTGTTATTTCCTCAATATTGTGATTATTTCATTTTCAAGAAAGTTGACCATAATAATCCTAGGAAGAGTCTAGTGAGAGCAGCCTGTGTGTATTACTGATGACACTGTGAACCACACACTTTGAGTTAGTTCAAAATCCTATAAATCCTTGAATTTATGCTAAGAAAAAAAGAACTAAAATGTGACATACAGAATCACACACACTGCAGTGTTTTGTATTCAATAAAAAATGGAAACAACTTAAATGTCTAATAGGAGGAGTTTGGAGGACGGTATTCTCGGAGAAATAATTTTTTTTCAAGTTGAAGTTGAGTTTCTATAGTTCGTCACAGAAAGATTAAGGAGGAATTGTCCATCGTTTACATCAGAAACCTCACAGGATTGCTGGTGAAAACTGGGGGTGCTTTAGGTCCTCAGTGGCACCCCAGTTCAGTTCTCGGGAGAGGTCTGATGGAGGTCCAACACAATTTAGTAGGAGCTTAAAACAATGGCACAGCCCTCACATAGATGGATTCCAGTACTCACATTTAAAATGTGAGTTGGCATAAGAAAGCAGAGGGGGAGGAGGCAGTTAGGAGGTTCCCAAGAGTAGTGGTTGGCAACAATTTGTCCCTTTTAGCCCGGCCCAAGACCGCCTGGGACCTGGGGCCCCGGGGACTCAAAATCCCCATGTTTTAAGAACGAATTGTTCTTAAAAGAGTTTCCCAAACCGCAGGGTGATCAGTACTCAGGTCTCCCGGGTCCACTTAGAAGTTAATACATTAAACACTAGGTCGGTTCAAAGTCCTTGTGAATAAGTACAAATAATTGGGCTGGGGAAACGAGGATCCAGAGGGTGAGGAAGACGATCCACCAGGAACTGAGGCGCAGCCTGCGGGGCAAGGTGCCGGAGGCTAAGCAGGGGCCGGCGGGGTGCGCTTCCAGGCCGAAGCGGAGCGCAGCGCAGCGGGTCTGAGCCCGGCGCCCTGGGCCCGCGGATGCCCCACCCAGCCCCGCCAGCAGGAGCGCGCTGGAGCCCCGCGGTCCCGGGCGGGGCGGCCGCGCTCTCGCCGCCCCGGGGTGTGGTTCCCGTGGCTCGGCCGGGTGGGGCGCCGCGTTTAAGGCGCGGGCCAGCGGGTCCCGGCTCACTCGCGTTCCCGCCGCCGCCGCGCCCCACCATGGAGCGGCCGTCGCCACGCGCTCTGCTCTTCGGCGCCGCCGGGCTGCTGCTCCTGCTCCTGCCCCTCTCCTCTTCCTCCTCTTCGGACCTCTGCGGCCCCTGCGAGCCGGCCTCCTGCCCGCCCCTGCCCCCGCGGGGCTGTCGGCTGGGCGAGACCCGCGACGCGTGCGGGTGCTGCCCGATGTGCGCCCGCGGCGAGGGCGAGCCCTGCGGGGGCGGCGGCGCCGGCAGGGGGTACTGCGCGCCGGGCATGGAGTGCGTGAAGAGCCGCAAGAGGCGGAAGGGTAAAGCCGGGGCAGCAGCCGGCGGCCCAGGGGTGAGTGGCGTGTGCATGTGCAAGAACCGCTACCCGGTGTGTGGCAGCGACGGCAACACCTACCCCAGCGGGTGCCAGCTGCGTGCCGCCAGCCTAAGGGCCGAGAACCTCGGGGAGAAGGCCATCACCCAGGTCAGCAAGGGCACCTGCGAGCAAGGTGGGCACGAGCGCTTTCCTCTCCGACTCCGCCCCCTGGCCCGCCCTGCTGGAGAGCCGCGCGCCCCCTAGCGGGTCAGACCCGACGGGGCGACCGCGGCTGGTGCTCCCGGCGCTGGTTCCCGCGACTCCCCCGGTGGGCACCTCAGGGAACAGATGGAAGGAAAGGAACTGGCAGCCCTGGGGATGCCAGCGGAGATGGGCAACACCTCCCTGCCCCCTCCCTTTTTTTTTTTTTTTTGGTAGTTTTAGTTTTAGAGTTTGCTGTCTGCCGCAAGAAAGTGGGGACTTGCCAGGCCAGTCCTCACTTTTGATAGTAAAGATTTTGCGATATCTCAGACTCAGCATCTCAAAAGCTCACCCAACTAATGCTAACAGCTGGCAAGTCGATTCTCAAAAATGGCCCCCATTCTTTTGGGAAACCAGAGATATCATGTTATCATGATTTTTTTTTTCTTGGCTCGGATGTATAGAGGTGAAGTCAAGAAATAGGGAAAAGAGTTTGACGACGTAATGCGAAATAAGGACTTTCAGAGAGAAGTTGTTTGTCCCACCTTGAATTGTCTAGATTGTCAGAATTATAAAACTCGGATTTCATGGTTTCTTAATTTGAGAAAAATAATTCACTTACTGGAAATGACAGATTCTTAAATAGTTATCTAGAAAATTATTTGTGGGGAAAAAATATGCTGACTCTTTGAAGAATGTCTTTATGATGTAGTTTATGTTGTGAACCCTATGACCATTTCATGTTTCTTTCTTGTTCCTTTTTTTTATGTCATCTGTCCCCAGGATGCACTGTTTAACAGGAATGGCTTTGGGGTCATGTTTAATGGTTTATTTTATTCCAAACAAGTCCAATCTTGCCATAAATGAAAGTGGAAAATAAGTAGAGACCGGACTTGGAAATAAAACACAGATTTTTACTCTAATGCCTGAAACAGCATTTTCCATAGGCAGCAGTTTCAAGGGAAGGTTAGGATCCAGCCTTGGCAGGCCTTCTCCTGGTCCCAGCCAAAGTGGAAAAGGGAGTGAGGCCATTCTGAAGGGACAGAAGCAACTTCTCCTTGAACGGCTCTGACTTTCACCAGACTTTCCAAATAATTCACTCTAGAGCTTTTCCCAGAAGTCATATGCTAACAGGTCATATGTCACTAATTTCAGTGTTCACTACTAAAAGCCTTAAATCGTGTAATGTACTGGTAACTATATTATTATTACCTGAAACTTAGGAAGTCATAACCCCAAGTAATGCACATACATTTCCAACAGAAACAGTCATTTGTTCCTTTGCATCTAATTGATCAGTCATATCATGAAAGAGAAATGTGTATAGTTTAAGAATTCTTTCCAAATAGTAAGATTTCCTTAAACATTTCAAGGGGCATTTTCCCCCAGTCTTTCCAAATCATGGGTACTTGACTTATCAAAACAGACGGTTAGCTTGGTGATTCTAGCCCGTAGCTGAGACTGATAGTCATATGGAACTACAGGCATATCTCAGAGATAATGCAGTTAGGTTCTAGACAACTGAAGTAGAGTGTCATAATCTTTTTTTAGGTGGAGGGCCTTGTCTTCAATTTGTTTTTGTTTTGTTTTTTAATTAAAAACAAAAAAGCAACACCTATGAAATGCAGTAAAGAGGAGTGCAATAAAATGAGGTATACCTGTGGTCTTATAACCTCATTGCATGTACACCCAGCTCCCCAGCATCTCTCCAGACTGCAACCCCCATGAAGGTACAGACCTGGTTTTTCTTTATGTTTGGGGAAATGTTAATAGAATAGCATCTAAAACTGGAATCCTAGACATAAATTAGCCTTTTCTTCCCAACCTAAATTTAGAGATGGGGTCTAGTGCTTGGGACCATTTATAGGAGAATGCCAGAGAATTCAGGGAAAAAATGTGAGGTCCCCCAGAGTACTTTTCCACAGCAGAAACAATGAGGCCTAAAACCAGATTTTCTAATATATTGCCCTGACTCTTGAATGTGTTTTGACAATTACAGAATCAAATCCAATGGAGTTCCATTTACTTCTGTGCCATTTAGCATTGGGGCTTTGCAAAGAATAAAAAATGCATTTTCTAGGTTCCTCCAGCCATTTATACATTCAAAAGAAATTTGAGTTACACTTCCTTGTGTATTGAGAAGAAGGGGACCTTGTAGGACTCAGCCACAATGGTGTGGTTCAATCTGTGTTCTTTGTGTTGGTCTCATATCACCTATACTTATTGAGCATCTAAAGTGTATCAGCACTGTCCTAGGTGCTGTAGAGCGAGGGATGCACAAAACAGAACTGGTCATGATGATTAAGAAGGTATCCATACAAGGTGCAAACTCAGCCCCTTGAGTGCTTTCGCTGGAGACCTGGAGACACTCCCAAATCTTCCCTTATTTTATGAGATCACCACTTACCCACCTTCTGGAGAGAGAGATCTTAGTCTGCTCGTTTTCTGTACCTCTGATAAGAGGCAAAGCCATCATTCTGAAAATCTGTTTGAAAGGTAATGAGCTAATAATTTCACTCACATCTTAGAACTGTCATCATGAATTTACTGCCATTAGATCTTATTGAGGTCCCTGAATAACTGGAAGAAGGGATTGACAATTTAGTTTAATAAAAAGTTAATACAGAGAAGCTGAGATGTATAATAAAATCTCACAGTTGGAAGAGAGCATTGTGCTCCTTTATTCCAGTGCTTGGTTACTTCTTGTTCATGGCCCTTTAAGTCTGAGCTCCTTGGTAATCCCACTTGAGCCACCTTGGTCCCTTTGAGTCCCATCTTCTCTTTTATCTCCCCTCAGAATTAATTTTTACTTGTGGAATAAGAATTCTTTCTTAAGGGTCTCCGCTGTTATACCTTTAGGACCAAGTTCAAACACCCTAGCAGTTCATACAAGGCTCTTCACAGTAACTCCATCCTGTTATTTTGGCCTCTTCTCTCCAACTCCTTTCTAGTCCAGACAGAGTGTTTGCTCTCAGCTGCTGTTTGCAGTCATACCAACACACTTACCCTTGCTTACCTTTCCACGCTCTGAACTCTTAGCCTTAAGATGTCACTTTCTCTGGGAAGCTCCTTGACTCTCCCACCACCGCGACCTCCCAATGATGTCCTTGTCCTTGGACTCTTCCAGCCACTTTTTCAATAATGTTTATTGCACATATATTAAGACACAGAGCTCTAGAACCAGACTCCCCTGGGTGTGAATCTTAACTCTGCCACTTCCTTAGCCTTGAGCCAGTTGCTTGACCTCTCTGGACCTGGGTAGTGTAAAGACTATAGTCATACCTACCTCATAGAGTTGTTGTGAAGAGTCAGTGTTGTGAAGATTGATCATAGAAAGCACTCAATGAATATTCATAGTCATCATTCAACCTTCAAGTAAATTCCATGAGGGAAGGGAATTTTTGCTCCCCAATCTATCCCCAGGGACCTATAGATAAGGGCCTGATACTAGTAGGTGCTTTAAATATATGTTGAATGAATGAATATATATATGAATTTTCCAGGTACTGTTCTAGTCTCAGCCTTGAATAAGACAACAAGATAGATCCCTCTCTGATGGCATTTACTGTATGCTTTACACAGAAATAAGTAGAGCCCTGGCCAGTTTGAGCAGTTGGAGTGTCAGCCCATGGACCAATGAGTCGCAGGTTCAATTCTGGTCAAGGGCACGTACCTTGGTTGTGGTCAGGTCGTGTGGGAGGCAACCAGTCGATGTGTCTCTATCACATTGATGTTTCTCTCTGTCTCTCTCTTTCTCTCCCTCCCTCACACTCTATCTGATGATAAATGGAAAAGTGTCCTCAAGTGAGGAATTAAAAAAAAAGTATAGATGTTTTCACATAGTCATATATGCTGTGAAGAATATACAATATGAGCCTTGGCTGGTTTGTCTTAGTGGTTACAGCATCAGCCTGCAGACCAAAGAGTCACAGGTTCAATTCTGGTCAGGGGCACATACCTCGGTTGTGGTTTGGTTCCCGGCCCTGGTTGGGGTCATGTGGGAGTCAACCAATCGATGCGTCTCTCACATCAATGTTTCTCTCCCTCTTTCTCCCTCTCTCTCCCTACCACTCCGTCTGAAGATAAATGAAAAAATATCCTTGGATGAGGAGATTTTATATATATATATATATATATATATATATATATATATATATACACACACACACACACACACACACACATATATATATATATACATACAATATGGAAATTGGATAGCAACTAGAGATGGATGATGTTTTTAAGTGGGGTGGGCCGAGCCTTGCCGAGTACCCATGTGAGGATTTCTGTAAAAGGAGCAGAGCTCTTGATGGGAGAGCAAGCTCTGCTGTTAGTATAGCACCTCCCCACAGCCTCCAAAGCACTCTCTGAATGTCTCTCTTCCCCACTGGACTGGGAGTACCCCAGAAGAGGAGCTCCATCTTGTAATTCTTTATAAACACAGTGGCTGGCTAATAGTTGGACACTTCGTAAGTATTTGTTGATTAAACAAAGAAATCTCTTAAGGAAGTGCCTTCCCTTTTGAAAATGCAGGCAATGGACTCTCCTGCCTGTCTGTTCCTTCTCCTTGTTTCTCTGCCTTCTTGATGTCCAGGCCAGGGACTACATTTGACGTTGACTCATCTCCCCATCCTCTGCTACCCTGAATTCTAACATTAGGTGATCACTTCCCCCAACCCCAAATCTCAACATTTTCCCATCCTCTTGATGGTTAGAATTCGGTTCAGAGCAACAGAAACTGTTCTGTAAATGGAAGAAGCTTCAGTGAAGATTTTTTTTTTTTTTTTCAGAAACTCATTTTGATGGATTTTAAACATTCCTCCTTTGAGAAGCTAATTTTATGCTCATTTTAATGCTGATAACATATTATTCCAATGCCCATGTTCTATTATGTTTTTCAATGAATTTACGAACTTGTGATGTTGTGATTTATAATAAGAAATATATATAGATATATATTTGATCTTCATCCTATTTAACTCCTCAAAC